CAGACTAATTCTGTTTAATGCAGGATGAATAGGGATCATCTTTTGCCGCATGTTAAGTTAACTGAATTAGGGAAATGTTGATGGATACATGTTCATTTAAATTTACTGCGCTATGGTTGTATGTCATGTGATGTAAATCTGGCAAATCAAGCCATGTAGTCTGCAGCAGCTCTGCATTTTGAACAGAGAGGTCCTAGTTGCATTCATTTTCAAGAAAGATTCTGCTGACATCAGCACCCCAATGCATGGTTGATGTGGCTTTGGGTCATACAGTATATGAGTATATCTTTTGTTTTACAGCTAATAAGTATGCCTATGCTGATTTTAATAGCCCCGATCACTGCTGCTACTGCCTGCGTATTTGATTAAAGTGAACCTACATTTACCATTCAGGTCGTTTTCAGGAGTCTGCAATTATGGTGAAAATGGGAGAGGAAAAGGATGGGTAGTACATACTCTTTACATAATCAATTCTGATGCTTTGCTTTACAACAATTGTCTGACAAGTAGATTTTGGATTTAAAGTTCTGTTTAACTAGCAACATCATCCTTTTAAATAGCAATACAAAGCGTACAAATTGATAAATTCAGAATCACTTTGATTATCGTAATGTGAACCTGTGATGAGAAAAATGTCACTATACTAATGTCTTTCCTGATCACATGGCACCAAAACATGCCAGGACATACCGTTCTTGTAAGTAATTGGCCCCAGAGCCCCCTGAAGTACCAGTGCGATTAATGACTTTGTGAAAGTTGACATTTGCATAGACATTAAGCACACACAGACCCATGTAACAATACTTGCGTCTGTTAATAGGTCACAAAGGCAACAAGCATTGCTACCTGAGATGCAGGGGGCAGCTGGTATTTAGATAGGTACTGGAAGTCAGCTTCAAGAAGGGAATGTCCTAGCTTATTTATGATGCATGCTCATCAGGTGAATCATTAGTGTTTAGGTATTTTCCTACAAGCACATGTTTATTTTAATTTTGTTATGTAATGATGTCATGGATGACCTTTGAATGCAGCCCCAGACTTTAGTCAGTTATTCTGTGGCGTGCAACCTGTAATGTATTGCCTTCTATTGCTTTCAGTAGTAGAGGAGCAGGGTTGTCAACGAAGTCTTCCTAATTCATCAGGGCCTTGCATAACAGTGCTGCATTGGGGTGTGTGTAATTAGACTGCAGAGATACCTTGGTGGATGGAGCTGAGCATCCCAGGATACCAGACCACAATTATGTGTTCCCGGAACACTGAATTATCAGCAACCAAAATATTTTACACAGGGGGGTGGTCTGGTACACACAGCATTAAAAACAAAGATCCAGGAGGGTGAGTTGTGTCCCCTGTAGTCATTCTTATTATTGACTGGAGTGTTCCTTTAAACAATACTTTGATTGATTCATTATTAGTTAATAATACCTTTTGTAAAATGTATTTTATTTCTTCTAAGTTCTTTTATTTTAATTTCTTTTTACTCTAAGTTTAAATTATTTTGGCCTACATACTAGTCTCATATGGGAATAGCCTGAATTGTGATTGGACTTGAATAGCAGGATATAAAATTGCAGGCACGAAACTGAATAAGTCAAAGGAAGGATACACCTCCCCTCCATCCTCCATCTCTCTTAGCAGAGACAGATTGGGATTTTCTATCTGCAGGGGCAGCCAGAAGCTGAGAGTTAGTACTGGACTTTTCTATTAAAAAGCACCCCATATTAAAGATTTTGAACGAATAATAAAAAAGTCAACATGAAAAAAAGAAAACCTTAAATAAAATTGTCCCTTTACAAACTAGCCAACAAAATGGCTACACATCTAATAAATACTTGAGGCAGGGTACGCTAATTTTGATGAGTTTGTAGAGTTATATGTGCTGGTCTCGATACATAATTCACACTCCGGACTTTAGAAGGTGAAAGTGGTTTTATTGTAGGGAATAATGGCTCCTATTTCACCTTAAAAAGTCCTGTTTCCTAATTCTTCACACTGCTGCCATATGTTCAGCTTTGGCAGCATGATGGAATTTAAGCGCTCTCTATAGCATAAACAAGTCTTTGAGTGCTCGCACGTATCCACGTTATCACTCCTCTTAAACATACAAACACTTTTTCTTTATTTTTTCCATGTTCTGTTTCTAGAATTCCCTGTGGACAAGCCATCCCTTTGTGAAGCCACTCTGGTGTTTTTAATCTTAACATGTGGAATTAAGCAGGGATTTGTCTACTTTAAAATGGAATGAGATTTATACATTTAGATGTGTATACTGGGAAATAATATACTTGTAAATCTCTCTGCAACATTATGTTTTTTTTAATCTGTTGTTGACGGAGTGAATATAACATTGGTGGGCAACCAACAAGGCAGGACTTGTACGAAAGAGAGGTTTTGCTACATAAAGTAAAAGGTCTGCTCAGAGCTGGATCATCCACTAAGCAACCTAGTCAAAAGCCGAGGGCCCGATGAATGTTCAGGGGACCAAGGTCCAATGTCCATGCCCCTGCAGTTAACCAGGGAGGTAACACAATTTGTCAAAGCTGTGCACCTGTCTGTCACTAGGATGTACTTGTTGGCAAGTGGTACTAATGGGCAGGGACCAATTATAGATCAGACAAAACAAATAGATTGGCTTCCCTGTGCCTGTTGCAATCCTTATCAATGTCAATCAAAGTGATGGTAGGGGTTAAAGCTTTGACCTTGCCTGGGGGCACCATTAAACCTTAATCCATCTCTGTATCTACTTACCTTAATGTGACCAAACGTGATAAAGCATCAATGTAATACCTATTGATACTACTGCTGAGCATTATTCTATATGGGGCTAATGCTGCCGTAAGCCAAGGATGTAGGTGGGAACACCCAAAACCTCCAGGCATAGAGGAAAAGAGTCAAGAGTTAAGGCAGAGTGTTCTAGCTCTTGAAATATCCAAGACTTTGAAAAGCTAGTGCCTGGCTCAGCCCACCAACAAATTATATAACAAATATATAACTTTTGGGTGGACTGTCAATTTTTAAATACAGTTTATTGTTATTAGTGTGATTCATAGTGGTAGTTTACTCTTATTGCATGTAGATATGAGGGCCACCAGCAGAACATTTTCGGTAATATGGAAAATGTTGTGGAGCTGTTAAATGCATTATCTCTTTAAAAGTTAATTGGCCCTTAAAAAATACCTGCTGAGTTTTCTTGCACTTGCTCATTAATTATTCTCATCTTAGGCTCATATATGTGCTGCTAGTGATTCATGTTAATTTGTCATTAACAGTCACTGCGACCTTGGCTTGCATTAATGTTCTTATTGATGAATCATACCTGGAAATATTACCCAATACAGTGCACAACTTAAAGTGCATGTAAACCATAACAATGAACTTCTTTGCTCCTGTTTACTAAAACATTAGAGGCAATTTGTTATATCTGTTTGATAAGAGTAAAAAATGCCTGTTAATCTTCTCAGAAAGCCATCCTGTGTCCTCTGCATTTTTCCTGTGTTTTCTCAAAGAGCTTTCCTACTTCTTAGATTCATCTATAGAATGATTAGCCTTAAAGTAGTATTAGGGACTGGGCATTTTTTACCTTAATGCATTCTCTGCATTAGGGTAAAAACGACCAAGTACCTTTTTTCTCCCCCGTCCACCCCAGTCCCCCCACACTTACATGTCAGCTACGCTAGTCCCCGCCACCGGTCCCGAACGATCCTCCGTTCCCCAAACTTCCTGGTTGCGGGGGGAGGATACTGATGGCAAAGGAGCCATAGCTCCTTCTGCGTTCAATCAAATTGTTGGGCGAAGAGGAGGGGCGTGGCTGTATGTGTGTCTATGGACGCACGCAGCCACTGCGAGCACGACGCGCACGGGTGCCTCCATTAGCCAACGGAGGCACCCGTGTTGGGGGCGGGGGGAAGATTGCTGCGGGGACCCACTAGGAAATGAGGAATTACAAATTTTTTAAGAAAAACGGCAACGGCTTCAATCAAAGGTGGGTCACTTTGTAGGCTGACACCACTCACTTCACAAACATTTGTAGTATTTTAATGTCAACATTTTTTCTTAGGTTTTCAATAAGAATAAAAAACAGTATACAAATCGACAAAACAACATTCGTGAGGGAAAATTACAGTTCTAGCCCGACTGGTTTCTTGTGGCTACCATGTCATATAAAGATGCATAAGGGCAACCATAGCTTTCCAAAGAATAGGGTTCCATGCTATATACTTGTAAAAGAGGACAACATCGAAGTATTAGGGCATTGGAAGAAGTATAGATATACATCGATATTTTTCACAGAGAATTACATTGCGTTTGAAATCATGAGGGTAGTCTATAAAGGCGAGAGCTAATGGCATTTGGGGTAGTGAGACAGGCAGTCACTGATATGATGCACCTAAAACGCAACTTTAGCAGGGCAGACAACATATAAGACAAACGGGACAGGAGACTAACAGGGGGGGCAGAGGACAGGCAAAGAAGAATAGAGTGGGGAAAAGGTTAAGAAGGGGGGCGGTTTGAATCTGTAGTATTTTAAAAGTATTCTTAGCTGGCTGATGTTATCAGCAAAGGATAACATTTGCTTACTGTATATAATCTGTAATTAGGTATGCATGTAGGAAGGAGCTGAATTTGCTTCATATGTATAGTTACTGTTTAGTCCTCTTATCTCAATGCAAGCGAACAGTCACAGCTGTCACAATATATTTTGTATCTAGTGTTTTTTCCCATCTTTTAAAGCCAAACTCAGGTCTCAATGGCGAACGGAATTCACTCAGCTATGCACTGGACGGATATTTTATACATCAGCCCCGAAGTTGTACATTTGTTTTTACAGTTAGGAATCATTTAGTGCTAGGAAGATCTTGGAGGCATTTATTTGTGTACACTTGTGTTCATCAGTACAAGCCTTGCATCAAAAATTGATAGCTCATTCTACATTCGGGTCCATGGGGCCTTTTCACAAGTCCAGACCTGCTAATATATACGTTTCCTTTTTTTCTTTTCAGATATGGAGTCTGCAGAGAGGATAACAACATCAAACTCATCTTCAGTGGCTTCTTCCTCACCGTCCACTCCATCGGCAGCTACAGTGGTATCAAAAGGAGGCATCTCCACAGGCGTCACCCCTCTGAGCTCCTCAATCACTGCTTGCGGTAGGTTGAATGATGTTTATAGATCTTCTTGTAAGAAACTCTGCAGAGACATGGATGCATCTTTTTATTTTTTTGTTTTATGCCTAGTTGTAAGCTAACTGTAAATCATGGAGCAAAGGAAAAGGTAGGAGTTGTTCATGATATCATTGTGAGTAAGCAAGTGAAACAGTGCATTTGGTGTAAAGCCACATGCCATATTCTATATGGCCAACTTCAGCCCGTGAATCTTCTCATTTACATGCGGATGGAAATCCAGCTATCGCTGAACTTCTGATCCTGCTCCAGCAGGTCTTATGCACCTCAGCGCCGTGGTCATCTCCGTCCCCCTCTTCTTCTGGCCAATCACAAAGCAAAGTGTGTGTGTTTTGTAATTGGCCAGGAGGAGAGGGGGATGGAGATGTGACCACAGGACTGAGGTCTATGAGACCTGTAGGGCCTACGGGCGTAGCGGGAGCTGGACCTTCACCCACATGAAAAGAAGATTTGTAAGTAGAAGGCGAAGAATATGTCATGTGGCTTTACAGCAAACAAACTGTTTAACATGGTCAGCACTGCTAACTTGGTCAACACTTCTGCCTTGCAGCACTGGGGGTCCCAGGTTTGCATCCTGGTCAGGACATTGTCTGTATGGAGTTTGCATGTTTTCCCTGTGCTTGTGGGTTTCCTCCGGGTACTCTGGTTTCCTCCTACACTCCAAAGACGTGCTGGTAGGTTAATTGGCTCCTGTCTAAGTTGGTCTTAGTATGTGTGTGTGCATATGCATGTGAGATAGGGACCTTAGGTTATACGTTCCTTAAGGGCAGGCCCTAACGTGAATGTACACTATGCAAAGCACTGTCTCAATTATTGGTGCTATATAAATACCTGTAATAAATAAATAAATAACTTGCTTAAATTTGATAAGATGATTGTGCCTTGTAGTTGGGCTTTAACCAAAGATGATAAAACCGTGCAGAGTGTAATACAGTACATGTAGATATTTCAGGTCTGTATAATCTCCTCTCACACAACCTCGTATTATTCACTTATTTATCCCTATTTGTGCGTATGCCTGCACCGCTTGCTTGATATAGAAACATTTGAGTCGTGCAGTGACATTTCAAGAGGGAATAAGTCTCATCAACAGCACAGGAAAAACAGTATTTAAAATGTCAGCTCTCTGCTAGAAAATTAATCATGAGCTTAATACACCTATTGAGTACAAGAGTCTGCCCACAGGAATGTGTTTCACCGGGGATTACAGAGTATTTTAATAGTTACATTTTAAATAAAGGTGCTTTTGAAACAGAACGCCTGCGATGGAAAAGTGAAATGCATTAAACATTAACTAGTGTAACAATATTTCCTAATGTTTCCTTATAAAATGCTCCGGATTTCTGATTAATGTACCTGGTGCACTGACAGTAAGGGGAAATTGCCGCTATTGCAGTTATGAATGGAAGTGTCTCAAACATGCACGTGAGTGGAGTGGCGTAATTCACATGCCCAGGCTAATGTTGTAATGCTTTTTATTGACCCACCTTGAGGCAGCGAGCTTCATTTGTCTTCATTCATTTACAGACTCTATAATGGAATCTGTCATTTGTCCTTTCATTTACTCACAAATTCATTTAATGCTGGTGGCTAATTTGAAAAGACGGCTACCAAGACTGGGAGCAGTGTCTGCAGTGTCCACAACAACCAATCAGATTATTTGTTTTATTAAAGACATAAAACCTTTTTTTTTTTAACCATTCTTTGTAAATGAGCAATTACATATGGTGGCTGCCAGTACTGACCTCCTGAAAATGGGTGCCGGGTTATTTAAACTGGAGCTTTCAGTAACTACAAATCTACCTAAATAAATTCTGATATGTTGCAATGTACAGCAAAAGTACAATGTTTCAAAAAAAGCTACACCTTTAATCATTAAAAAGCCATCCTAGAGCTTAACATAGTAGTGAAGTGACTTCAAAAAAACCCGGGAGATGTGCTACTGTGCACAGCATATCTACCAAACTGGTCTTTGGCTGCTTTATTGGCTGTACCCCAATGATGTAACTACCATGTATGCGCATGGAAGTTACTTCCTCTTGTTATGCCGGGCCTGGGTACAGAAATAATAAAAAAGCCAAATGGTAGAAAGAAGACTACCAATCTGAATCTTTCAAACATTATCCTTTACTTCCACTTTAAAGTGTATTTACACTTTCGCAGGCAAATTCTGATAACACCTATTTTATATTTGTTACATGTTCCCAATCACAAAGTACAAGTTAAAAAAAAATTAAAAATGCTTCTTGCAGTTTGCATTGTTTTTTTCTTGGGTTAGGGTTTTAAGGGGTTAAAATGTCTTCTAGCTTCTATTCTTCTAAATTGTTAGGAGGGGGTGTGAGGGATGAGTGGGTTTAAGGTGACTTGTCTATTGTATGTTAATGAAACTTATCAGATAAAAACAATCCTCAAATTTCAGTTCCAAGTCTTTCTATAAGGACAGACCACTGTGAAAGGGCTGAGAATAACCTGGAATCAGCCAACTTGCCTGATTTAGCAAAACATATAAAAGATAAGAATTTTTGTTGTTTAAGTTTATTTTCAGTACGCTGTGTGAATAGGAACACATAACAAACATATAGAGGGGTTTTCTCACATTTGACTTCAAAAGTGGAAATACACTTTAAGTCCTGTTACTTTGTCTAGACAGAGCTGATGTCATCGGTCTGCTACAGGTAGCGGGAAGCATTTCCTCACTCTACTTTGTAGTAAGTCTTTTTATCATTTATCGCCTTTTTACATTAAAAAAATCGTCCTGGGGCTCAAGACCTGTGACTTTGCCTAGGCTACGATGATGTCCTCAGTCTGCTGCACACAGGCAGAAGCATTTGCTCAGTTTCTTCTCCCCCAGTGATCAGACTACAACTTTGTAGTAAGTCTGTGCCTTAGTTTTAATATTAAAAAGCTGCCCTGGAGCACAGGATCTGTGACTTTACCTAGGCCAAGATGATGTCCTCAGTCTGCTGCAGGCAGAAGGAAGCAATAACTCCCCCAGTGATCAGACTGCAAGTTTGTAAATTTGTTGTAAGTCACAAGGTGAGAGGCTGCAGCAAGGGTTGGTCATTTGTGACCACAGCCAAGAACTAAACGTGCTCCAAACTTTACATGATTGTGTCATATTTGAGCATCTAGAAAGTAGATGCTGACTCTATCTAAGGAATTGTGGTGCTGTCCTTCAAAAGAGAACAGTAGATGAAGGTATTGTTAGGGGGAGTACTGTGAGTGAGAGCTAATAAATACCTGTAAATGTCTTAACATAAAATTATAGTCTGTGCTAGGTCTGGTTTAAGTTTACCCAGTGACTTCAATACCTACCTGGATTAAGTGGTAATATCAGGATCACTTAAACCAAAACTTGTGTAATTTTGCTTATTGTTTTATTTAAATGTTATATGGATATTGATTTTTGAGCCAGGTCAGTTTAGCTACAGTGCTCCTCTAAGAGTTCCCCTTTTAGCTGAAACATTTTGGCAGGTTTGGACTGTCATGTTGTTCAGTATCTGTATTTTGGGTATAGGTATAACATGTTAGGGTTGGATTTGATAGTATTATTTGTATTTTGTTCTTGTCTAATAACATCCTCTTTTATGTTATATAGTGGTGCAAACAATTGATTGCAGTATTCTGTTGTATGTTGTGTGGAAGTGGCCATCTTGGCAGAGCTGCCACCAGCAAGGGGAGCAGGGATCAGTAGTGTAGTGACATTACCAAATCTCACTCCAGAGTTCTCCTGATCTCCTATCAGACAGAGGCAGCAGTCCCTGAGATCTCACACTGCAGATATACAGCTATGAGCCTGTAGGCACAAAAGTGCCTAGGCACCCTCATATACCAGGAAGAGGCCTGCTATTCTACAGGGGGAACTCCAGGTAAAGGTAGATTTTTCAGGGTCCTGCTTAGTCACAAATGACAGTTCTTAATGTTACCTATAATACAAGAGATGTTCACTTTTAGAGTTGAAGTCCACTTTAAATCTATAACATTGTATATATTTGTTGCCACAAAAAGCATATGGGATGGTTCATTCGGTGCATTCTTATTGACATACAGGCCGTTATTAAACATCCTGGAATTTTATGCATTTATCAGTAACATATGTAAAGCTTCTTTCAAAAGACAAGCATGCTTTCTGCACCCTCTTAAGTGTTCTGAATGGAAGAGCCCATTTGCCCGGCTCACTGTGCTGTCTGTCTATTTTGAGGCTTGTGTATGTTGAAAGAGGAACTTGTAATCTTTTTTCTCGTCTGCTATTTTTATTTTGCATTTTATATTCATGGAAACAGGTTTGCAGAATCCTGACATTTTACTGACCTATGCAGAGTGCTAACTATGTCAGCAAAAATGTTTAATGGGGATAAAAGCTTATATATGTCCTTCCTGTACAAGACACTCACTGTAAATTCACTTATGGCCATACTTAAAGGGAAACTGTAAAAACATTATACAATTGTCCTTTAAATTTGGCAAATAGGGCTGCTTCATACTGTGCATGCACGCCATGAGGCCTATTCATTCCTAAGGAAGAGACGTACTCCAAGAGACCACTGGAGGCTGCCATAGGCATGAATGGGGCTGTGGTACGCAAGTGTCATATGAAGCTACCATGCTGGAGAGAAAGGTCGTACTGTTCTGAGCTAGGCCGCACTGCGCAGATCATTGGCTTGGGGCTAAAGGGATTTTTTTCCTAGTGGGATGCACTCAGTGGGGTATACATTAAAGGATGATTGTACAAATGTACAGTTGTCCTTAAAAGTCCATCAACAGCCAAAAATGTTTTTCTTAGTTATTAATTGAATGGAAACGAGTGTCAAAATTTCTGTCAAGGTTTTATTGTTGTCTGTGTCTAGGGAGATGTAGGTCGTTGGGGGAACCCTCCGCATCACCTCACAACAGTCCCGGCCAGGTAAGAAAGGATGGTGCTCGCAGTGATATTGGTTCACGGATGGCGCCGTGCAGACACAGAAAAA